CTGCCCAGTGGCTTGATGCTTAACAGCAGCTGCAAAATGGACTGGATTCTGATGAATTTCCTACTTGAGGCTGGTCGATGGTGGTGGCTAGCAGCATTATAATCTCAGCCTTTTTCAGAATTTTTCGCATCCTCAGCCAGTGATCCTGGGGTGATCACTTTCTTTGGAAATAATACACTGCAGCCTGAAAAGATTCAGGTTGTAAATAATTTTGGGTTTCAAATCTCTTCCCAGGTTAAGAGAACTCATTTCTAGCAAAAGCTATCTGCCTTTTTCTGACGTGTCTGGTATGACCACAAACGGAAAAAAGATACCAGGTTTTATAAACCACTGGACCTGATCCAATGCTGTGTTCAGTTTGGAAAGGATATAAACCTTTAACTTGCATGGTATGAAGTGCAGGCCCAAGGCTAATGTGAGAACGTGTGGCAGTGAGAACAAGCAGCACAGGCATTCGGAGCATTTTTGAGCCTGCCAAGTATTGATTGGTAACGGGAGGGAATGAGTGGAGAAGCATTTCAGTTTGGCACCCATGTGTGATTCTGGTGCTGTCACAGTGAATTAGCAGGACTTTCTTTTCCCTGTAGTCCATCCCAGGCTTTTGTCATTGAAGTATCCCCTTTGCTCATATCAACTTGTTAAAAGACAAAGTGGAAAAAAACCCAAACAAATTCCCAGAACTTTTGCCCCCAAAAAGCCTGATTATGTTATGCTGCTATCCTCTGAATGGCGGCTGAACAGTACTAACGACTGTCACAGCATAAATGTTACAGGGGATTCGAGCTACAATTACTCATTTTGCACAGTCACTTAATCCACTAATGGGGAGAAATGGGACAACAGTTTAAGAAGGCAAGAGAACTGTCAGAGATTATTAAATCTGTTGGGATCATTTGGTTTAGTAGTCTGTCTTGACCCAAGTACATGCTTCAGCTAATGCAACAGACTTAATGCCTCCGGTAATTAGAGCAAGAAGAGATGGGTCATCATTAGCAACTAGAAATTCAGAGTTGTATTTCATCTGGAAGGCAGCATCTTCAACAGGGCTTATTTGTTGCCACTGCAGATCATCTGTGAGTCACAAGTGGTACATCGGACTGACTCATTTGTGTGATTTAGCAGAGGCTTTTTAATACATGCTCACTGTTCCGTATGAATAGTTTTTCTAAATAGTTGCCCAACAGAAAAAGGCACAGTATTGGACAACCCTGTGCAGTTAATACCACTGCTCTTATTTACAAGATGTTGGTGATTTCTTCATTGTTGTGCAGTTCACAGTTCAGATTACTTTTGATTGTAGGTTTGAAATGTCTTTGTCATATCTGTGAAACTGAAGAGTGAAGAAAGGAAAGCCAAGCAAGCGTGGAAAGCATCAGTAATTGGCATCTTCAGAAGATACAAGAGCCAATCTAATACCATTCAAGGCATATATTCACAGAATACGTTTACAAGGGTTTCACAGATCCAAAATCATATTCAGTCCTGCATATTGCCAACAGCATGAAGGAAAATTATATTCTACAGATTCAGTGTTTTTGCAGATACTAGGAAATTTCTAAATCCTCTTCAAAGAGTACTGGTAAGTAAATGAACAAAGGAAATTAGCCACAATCTGAATTCCATTACAAGTTACTATGAAGTGGGAACTGAAATAATATAAATGGGGTGATGTAATATAGCTGAGTCATTTCATATGATCTTGCGCAGATCAGCAGGCAGTGAACTGTGACTTGAGAAGACCAAAGTATTGAAGTGTGGCTTGAAAATACTTGAGAGAAACTATATAATCAATGGATTCTCATCAAGCAGAATTTGGGTGTCTGTGGTTGGCTAATTAGGTTTGTGATGCTGAAAACCTCCTGGGACACCACCAAAGAGGGAAGGCAGGTTGCAGTGCTTCAGCAAGAACTGTCTGGAGAAGTTATCTCTCAAAAAATATGCCCAGACTTCAGCAGGGGCTTAAGGCACTTCTAGCAATCCCTAGAAAAGAAAGGGATTCAGAGGTGTCAAAAAGGTAGCCATTCTCAGTGTGGATGGGAATCTCCTTAGAAACAAGTATACTTGGGAGTTTAATTTGCCAAATTAATCAAGTTCAAAAGCTTTCAACAGTGCTCAGGTCCATGATATCTGATGGACTGTGAGCTAACTAGAACTGAAGAGACCTTTTGTCGTTTTGTTTTCACATGGTTGCCTGGCTTCAGTAGAGTGCTTTTTATCTCCATGAAGCTGTTGTGAGCTTTTCACAAAAGAGTGGGTCTTCTGGTCCAACCTCCCTGCTCAAGCAGGGTCATCCCAGAGCACATGGCACAGGATTGCATACAGTTGTGGATTGTTTCCAGTGAGGGAGACTCCACAACCTCTCTGGGCAACCTGTTCCAGGGCTTGATCAGTCCCACATTTAAGAAGTTCTTTCTCATACTTAGGTGGAACTTCCTGTGCATCAGTTTCTGTCCATTGTCTCTTGTCCTGATGCTTGAAACCACTGAGAAGAGCCTGGCTTCATCCTCTTCATGCCTTCCTTCTTTCCTTCTGTGTTTCTTGAAGAGAGAGGAAAAAGAAATAACCATTCTTCACTCCCTCTTGCTGGTGTGCCTGGGGAATTAAGTTGTAGGCTCAGAGGAAATATTTTCTCAGGAGATTGTGTTTATCAGCCTTTGGAGCTTGGATCCATCTCAGATTTTCTCCACCTTAGTCTTACTTTATACAATACTGTCATGGTAGAAGGTTTCTGAGGAGGACCAGTCTGACGGAGGTTTCTCTGCAGTAACAGTACATCAGCTCAGTAGACTTCACTGGAGAAGCCTGGATTCTTCACACTTCGTGTCTACATCTTGTTTTATCCACACAGATGTTCCGATTTCTGCACTGTCCTTTCTCTTTACTCTTTCCTTCTGATGCAGGTTTTTCCCACAGTAGCATCCTCTCTTCACACATGGCCATCTGCCTCTACTTTTCTGCTGCGTTCTCTGCTATCTGGTCCTCATGTGACAAACACAAGTTCTTGCGAGGTCAAGACTGGCTGCTGCCTCCCATACCACTCTAATCTGTATTTTGCTGGTGGTGTAAAGGCCTTTATCAGCTGTGGTATCTACTGTCAGCCAAATAGCACTCTTCCCATCCTGTAAGTAGAGTAATATGTGGTAATGGATTGGATGGAAATAATGGATGGATTATAATAATAAAGATTATGAATATAAGGTATGTTATTATATAAAAGAAAAATGACCAAAAGCACTTCATCTCTCTGCCAGCACCATGTGTCTGGACAGCTGTCATGAGGAGGGACCTTATAGGTGCAAGAAAGAGAGACCCTTTATCTCTCCTTGCTTCATAATATATGTCTGAGGTTCTGAGTATTAAAGTAGTGTGTGATGGTGTCAAGAGTGTTAAGGAAGTTGTCTGCTGTATGTGCAGCTGACTGTCTGAGGGGGCACAAGAGACTTAATGTTTTAGGGACATGCTTTTATTGGAATCTGACCATTTAAAAGGCTAATTCTCCTCTCTTGTACACTCTGCTTGGATATAATCCCATCCAACCTGTGCCTACAAGTTCCATTCCAATCTATAGTTTCCCTTGCCTTCTTTCAGACCCTGCCTTTTATCTGGCTTCCCCAGCAGAGCTCCCATAAACTGCTGGTTCCTCAGAGGAAAGATAGCCAGTAAGTCTTGAAGTGAACAAGAATGTGGTGTGAGTCCCTAAACACTGGGGAACCAAGAAAATCCTTTTCAGTGCCCAACTCTAGTGGAAGCTGGTTTAGGGAGTAAATGCCTACATGTCTTTGTGAAGGAGTCCTCGAGTCTCTCAGCAAAAAGACAATGGCAGCTGTCTGGCAGGGAAAGGTTTGCTTTGTAGGTGCTGGGGAAGCAGATGTCCTGCAGGTATTTGTGCTCCAGTTAATTACTTAAATTAATGTACTTCATATTTGACTTAATGAAGGACATAATGAAGGATAACTAGGAATAACAGTGCCCATCCTGAGGTAGCACCCAGTGCCCACCCAAGTGCTGCCTTTTGCCAGCTGCTATAGAGGCAGTAAATTAGTCAAGGGATGCCAAAGTTCATTTTCTGGGGGAAATAGTGATTTTACTTGAAAGTGGAGTGTGCTTTCCTTAATAAGGAATGCTTAGCGGCATGGTATCTCATCTCTGTCACTCCTTTCCATGTGCTGATGTACATTTCTTTCTAAAAGCCACCAAGCTTCACTGGATCAATGAGGCCTGATCAATTGTTTTTGCCTCTGAATCATCCATATGGGGTTGTTAGCTGAGCTGCTGGCAGAAAATGAGAGGCAGCTTTCTGTCTGTTTACTGTAAAGAAAGCGAAGCAAGCTACAGGAGGGGACAGCCTGCACAATATTTACTGTCAATACAGCCGGAGAGAGAGAAGAGATATAAGGAGAGGAGAGGAGAGGGGAGCAGGGGCTGCAGGCTGCAACCCCAGTGAATGATCTGAGTATAAAAAAACCCATGCATTTTCAGATGGAAAAAGAGTGGATTAGTCAACAAGGAATAACTGAGAGCATTTAAGAAAGGGTGTAGTGAAGGTCTAGTGGGGCAGGGACGTACTAGTGGCATGCAGAGTAATAATGCTGTGCATGAGTGTACTGAGGCTGCACTGCAATCTGGAAAACACTTCCAGATCTGGCCTGAGACAGAGCAGTTGCTGGGATATTCTTGTGTATGCCTGCATGCAAGATCCACCATTTAAAAGTAATAACAGGAACAATAACAATTGAACTTGGAGAATATTTGGAGCTAGTTTTCTGAATGAGCTGGATGTCACCATCGTAGCTCAAACCAGAAAAAGAAACTTATTAAAAATAGGCATACTTCCTTGCTTCTCTCTCCTCTTATTCATCCACAGAGGTATTAGGTGACCTGAGCTTCAAAGGGCAAGAAGGCTCTGAGCAGCTCTCTCTGAGTGTTCCTCTACTTCCAGAGGCAGGTGAACGAGTGAAGAGTGAATTCACACTTTAAAGAGCAGCGAAGACCATCTTGCCATGAAACCATTCACAGATGAAGATGTAGAAATCTACATCCAGAGCAAGGTAAGACTTTATCTGACCAGATTTTCTGTCTCCCACACTAGGTGTTGATTCTGAGGGGTGCCAAATTTGACAGTTAGTTGCTCGCCTGCTGTCTTCATTTCTGAGACAAGATTGGGTGAAGTTTCATGAGAACTGCATTTCTAATGAGATTTCTAGGTTTCTGTTGCAGAATCTTATCTGCTGGTAGTGTAATTTTTCAAGGTGCTTGTCCTCTTCTTCTAGGTATCCTGAATTTTTGTTCCTGATCTGGAATTCCAGATGTTAAGACTAGCTGTAATTGCCAGCATTTAAATCTAAGGAAAGGTCCTTGCCTCTCTCCCTGTTGGGTGGTCTTGGCTTGACCGAACCAAGACTGACACCAGGCATTGCCTCTGAGAAAGATTCATGTAGGAACTGCAGAGACAGACCAATATTGTTAGAATTCAGTCATCAGTCTGTCACCTCAGCTTAGGATACTTCTCTATATACCATGATTAAAATAACATGTCTCATTAGCACATGCAGACTGGAATCTCATTTTCTATTTTATAAGATATTCCAGCACTTGGTTTTTCCCCCATTATGAAATGAAATAAACCAGAACAAAATCCTCTATGAAACAGTACTATTTAATAAAAGCTCTAAGTGGGCCATAACAGTTTTTAAAACTAACATGTTTCATGACAGTACTTAGCTAGATCCTGTTTTATAGTCTACTTTCCCTAACAAAATGTAAGATACCAAAGTGACAAGTAAGTTCAAAATCAGAAAGTGTAAGACTTTATTTTCTGTAAAGGATCACATATTTTACTACAATGAAAGGGCTGGTAAGAAAGGTTTGTTTTCTCTATGGAAATGTTTTGGTGGCAAGTATGGAAGTTCCCATAGAAATACACCTTCTTCAGGAGTGCAGTGTGGTGCACAGGAAAATCATTCCATGAGAATCTGTTCAGTGAGCTATAACAGCAACACTTCTCTGAAGTTTTAAAAAGCAGAGCTACAAAGGAGGGAACAGAGGGAAGCCATGAACAGGAAGATGCTCATATGACAGCCGTAAGTATAGGGAACAGAAGCAGACTGTAGTTAAGTGAGACTCATAGTTGCCAATATTTTAGGTTATACTGAAATTCTGTTTTCTAGCAGCCCTCCAGCTCTGATGGATTCTTAGTTTCTGCCTGCTCCTGAGTCTCTTGTCCAAGTGATGCTGCCTAACCTTCAGGCAGTTCATCTTGTCAAATATTGCCTGGTTTTGGAAATAGGTCAACCACCTGGTGCAGCGAATCTCTATAATACCAGAGATTTCATCCTTAAGCCACTCATCAAAGGAAAAATTGGAATGTGAATGAAGTGGATGTGGCTGGCTAAATAAGAGAAAACCCAAATCTTCTTAACAGTTCCTAGTAAATCCCAATTCTGCTTCCTTCCCCCTTAATAAAATCTTAATTGACCTTGTTATTCAGGTTTTGGCACAATTCCTCAAGTTAAGACCTGGTAAGGAGAATGCCAGTAAGTCACAGAAGTGTCTGTCCAGCAAAGGCTTTACAATGTCTCTTCTCCCAATGTGTCTGTGCTGGTACTAGAAGTATCTGAGGTAAAATGCCTTGGCTCCTCAGGCTCAGATTCTGTTTTCTAATTTTTTGCCCTCCTTCTGTAGGAAGGTTATATTTTCCAACAGGATGATTAGGGAGCTAATTATGGTTAGCTAATTATAGTGAGCACCCTCTGTCAGTCACATGCTCATTGTTCTTTTATCCCTGCTCCAGTGATGGGGAGTACACATTGAAAGAGGTGTTTAGTGGCACTCCCTCAACTGTTTTTTTGAGTGTGTACTCTTATAAAGAATTCATGACAACTGCTGTAGCCTAGCCAGTAGGTGATGAAGGCAAAATTAAATGAGGCCAGGCTGGGTTGAATGGATTCTCCCTGAATACTGGAGGTGGCAAAAAATGTTTCCAGCAGGTGTCCCTTAGAGAGAACAGAGCATGAGCAATGCATACAGAGAGCACTCTAGGTCTCTGTTTGGGCTGTGAGATTGTATACTTTTCAGTTTTAAAAAATCTATTTTTTTGCCTAAAAGCTCTTGGAGATGGACAAATTTCTCTATCACTCACCATTTGCTTGCTGAAGAAACCATTAGGTATCTTGTTGAGCAAGACAAGCTTATGGGACTGTTCTAAGGAGTTGCTCTGGATGAACAAAAATAAGGTGAAGAAAATAGATACAGTATAGATACAGATGGAGAAATGCCATAAATGAAAGCTGAGATGAAGAGGTGAAAATTAACATGGGCTAAAATATTTCAGTGGTTTTTGGTTTGTTTTTTTTTTAAAGTACGTGTAAGTAGCTAAAACTGCTCTTAGAGAAAAGGATGAATTGGAATGAGGAGGAGGGTGAATTACTAGGGAAATTAAAGGGCATTATATAAACATAAAGGACTCATGGTGTTAAGATAGACAGGATGTCAAGGGTGGATGAGAACCCAGTGAAGGGAATACGGTGCTGCTGTCTGAGGTATTTCCCACTTCCAAAAGCTATTCAGGCTTAGTAAAAGTACTTAACTTTGTCTGAGGGAGGAAGGTATTCAAACTCTGCTCATCTTCGAGTTCAGTATTAGTCAATCACCATTCACTGGTTGTGAGGCAAGCACTAGTCCACTTCAGTCCATTGAATGGTCCCTTGTTGTGAAGAGGTGAATCTATTTGTCCCCTTCCAGGTCCTGGGGACACATTTCAACACACTTGAGTGGTTTTGGCTGATAGTTCAACATTGACATAAAGGCATCCAAAAGGACTTTTAAAGAAGTACTTGTCAATGATACTTTTTAAAAGATAAAAGAGTTGTTTAGATGCTGAAGAAGATGCTGAGTAAACAGGGCAGGAATTTTTGAAAGCCATAGTCTAGTTTGAGTTGGAAGGCACCTTTAAAGATCATATAGTGCAGTTTCCCTGCTGTGGACTGTAACACCTTCCACTAGATGAGGGCTCAAAGCCCCTTCCAGCCTGGCCTTGAACACTTCCAGGGATGGGGCATCCACAGCTTCTCCAGGCAACCTGTGCCTGTGCCTCACCACCCTCACAGTGCAGAATTTTTAACTTAGGCTTTTGCTTCCTTTTGGTCTTTGATAATAACAAAAGACTGTAACACTTAATGTTTGATGTGGCAATTATACTTTCTCATTCACTTTAGCCAAGTGATGAACTCTGCTTCTGAGTTTTTTTCTTTCTTGCCTACAAGTATTAAGATTTAGTAGAATATGATAAGGAAAAAGAAGAATCAAGAAAAAAGCAAAAGCTGTGACCAAATGAGACAAAGCGTCCAAATGATCCAAAAAAAGAGCAGTAAATAGTGTTAATATTTCACCCTGCGTAAGTAATTCTGGCTGTATAAGAAATGGCAAGTATGTTCATGAACTTCATTAACAGTAGCTGAATCTCCTCACTTTGGTAAATGTGTAAGGATATTTGGGAAATATTAAATGTCCTTTACTAACATGGTTCCTTCATGTTCCTCCTGTTGAATCTCCTCCTTCAGATTGTGACAGTGCCCTTATGTTCCCTTCATTTGTACTCAGGTTCATCTTATATTTTTCTGAGTTGTCTAGCCCTCACCTCAGTCCTTCCAAGACTCAGACATTTCACTGAAATAATTTTCAATAATTCATTATATTACTATTTTTTGAATTGAAGAACTACTCTTTAATCCACACAAACACCTAGTTCCCAATGGGACCAGCTTTGGAAAGATGCTTTCACACTATCTAGGAGGAGAATCTCGTCTGTACTTCAGCCATAAAGACAGTGTGGATACTTTCAGTATATAAGGTGGGCATCTAAATGATGCCACATACATCTACCACCTGACTAATGGACAGATCTGTAACTCTTGATGTCCTGTCAGTTCTTGGAATGAAACATATCCTGGCTTTGAGAATGGCTACCATATGCAGGGGAGTAACTGGTATTCTACATCCAATGGATAAAGAATTGAGACTGTAGCTGTAGTTGATAACAAATATATCTGTGTAATGAACTTCTTTCCTTCCATCCAATGGTGTTGGCATGGAAATATCAATTAATGCTCAATAGTCTTGAATATTGATCCTTTGGTGTTCACAGCTCTGTCTCATGGCAAATTGATTGCAATACACAGGGAACAATTTTTATTCCCAGTGCACCACAGGCACAATGTTTCAGGATGCTTTCAGCTGATTTGTGTGATTCCCACTGGAGACAGAGACTGCAATTACCTGTAACATGAAGTGTCTTTCCTGGAACTGACAGGTGGAACGGCGGCATTACCTGGTTTCCAAAGCAGTGGAGGAGGTGCAGAAAATCATCCAGCAGCTGACTGCAGAAATCAGCTACAAGGCTGTGCGATTCCAGGCTATCTCCAACTCTGGCATTCACAATGAGAACATTAAGGTATGAACAAGAGCTCTAATGCACTCTCTGGCAGCCTTTAGGTAACCAGCAAGTGATTTCTCCATTATGTAAGAGTTTGTATGGGCAGCTACCTCAGCCAAAACACCACAGACGATGTGCTGACGCTTCCCTGTGGAGTTCTAGTGACTCACTCATGGACATCTCACAACCAGAGTAGCATCAAAGAGAGATGGATAAATCAGGCAGAGCCTCTTCTTACAGCTGCTGTGTGTACAAAGAGCGTCTATTGCCAGAGCTATCAATCCATAAGCAGAAGCCAAAGCTCTTTGGGAGACAGAAAGTAAAACTTACGCAGCAGTAACGTAAGAAAAAATGCTCGTGCTTTCATGAGCTATGACTCATATTTTTCACAGGTGGAAAAGCTGTCAACTCACTAAAAAAAAAATAAAAGAAAGAAAAATTAAAAGTCCTTCCTCTGCTATGAACGTTAGAAAGCTCTTTCTGAAAAATACATTTTTCCTTGTCATGGATTGGAGTTTCTTTTTTAGTGGGAGAAGGGAAATGCCTCCCCATTTTAGACCTTCAGACATGAAAATAATAATGCCCTGTCCCAGCTGTGACAGAAGAAAGCTGCCTATTCTTGTGACTCAGTTACACAAAAATAACTAGTAAAGACACAAGAAACAATCACAGCAATGACAACTTCAGATGAAAACAACCTTTTTCATCTTTTCTGAAGTAGTTGAAATATTAATGTCAACCATTTTACTAAATTTAATAAATAGCCATTCACACATCAAAACACAGCAAATACGTAAAAGCATGAGAAAACTTTTGCAGATCTCTGGGACTGAAAGGGAAAAAGTCTTTCTATGAAGCTGCTGGAAAGGTATGGAGGTGGAGGCAAAATATAATCATCCAGTCTGAAACATGGCTATTGCCCTGGGGACAAAGACATTCAGATTCATAGCTTTTCTGGAATTTTGTGTATCCCAGAGCATGCGGTCTTGTCAATAAGTATGGCCACAGTGATGTAAAACAGTGCCACATCCTGGTCCATGAGTTCCTCAGTGCCAGTCTGCCAGCCACCTCTTGTGCTGGAACAAACCTGCTTGGCTAATGAGGTCTGACAGGACCAGGGTCAGGGCAAAATTGCTGCTCTGGAAAGCAAAGCAGTACAAAACCACCAAGGCAATCCATTATGAGCAGTAACTTGGTGTTATAGCATGCAGATCTGAACAAATTCTGCTTGAAAGAAATCCTCAAAATCAATTTCCTTAAAAGTGGTAGATCTGTTGTTCATGCTTAACTGAACCCAGTGTTACAAATCCGTGGAAGTAACACTAGGAGGGTCTGGCTAACTATGTATGGGGGGCAGCAAAGAATGGGTTGATGAGAAATTATTTTGGTTTGGGCTGTCTACTTCCAAAAAATTGGAAACTTAATAAAGTTACTGACATTCTTCAACATAGAGGAGACTTGTGTCCAGGGAAGGTCAATGTATTCATTATTCTGTGTTTAATTTCACAACATCTTTTTTTTCTGTCAAATCTAGTTAAATCTACAGTGACTTTTCAGAACTTTCAGCTTCTGGCTAAAAGGAATCAATTCAACATGGTGAGAGATTTAGATTTGTTGAGAAGCCTCAAGATCCCTTCTAAATATGAAGGGCTGAGTGAAGAATAGTTAAGAAAAGTCTTTAGGTATTCAGTGCTTTCCTGTGACCTATGTAACAAAAAGTCACGCTTTAATGAAACACCTGAATTAAAATTCAGATGAACAAAACCGATAATTTAATTTTTAAAAGTTCTAAGTGTTTGTTTTTGTTGTGGCCCACCATTTATGGAGCTGTCAACTGTGCAGAGCTGATGCAAAGCTGTGGAGGCTCCAGTAAAGTTATAATGAAGAAGTTCAGACTAATCACTGGTACTGCACTGCCCAATGACATTGCCAAGTGTTTAATCAAGGTGGGGGTAATGGGGGGGGTCTTCCTTTAACAAACTCCAAGCATCCAAGGAAGCTTGCAGCTTTGCTCTGTGAATGAATGACCTAGCACGTGCTTTCTCTCTGTTCTGTGTATTTCTTGTCTCCCTTTCTGCTTCTCTCAGGATCAGCCAGTTTTACTGGCCAAGTGGTCAGCTATGCTTCGGAGGAAGCGCCCATTCCACCCATCCATCCAGGTACAAAGCCTTCCTGGTGCCTGACAATCCCTGTGCTTGTTTCCTCCTCATACACCCTCTTCTCCAGACAATTTCACCCACCAAACTGATCCTTCCATGACTGTTTTGTCCTCTGGACATGAGACTTGGTTTTTTTTTTTTCCTCCTTAAAGCATAATTATTTTCTTTCTAACCTCATGTTTCTACCTCCCCTGAACAGCCTGGCCAGATTCACAGGAATGAGGTTGTATTTAATTTTCCCAGCATACTCTAGACAGGATTTTAATACAGCAGAACTGGCCACAAGTTACACCCCACGGAACTGGAGACTCTTGCTTGAGCCTGTGACTTCCTGGGGCCCATGGCCTGCACATAGTGTGTGAGACCATCGTTTGACAGAGCAGAGGAATGGGACTGGGATTTGTTTAGGCCAAGAAGACACCAACTTCCCAGCTTTACAGTGCTATTCCCAGCCTTGTGTATCCTGTTTTTTTCTGGTAAGCCCCAGGTGGAGGACCCTTGTGACTTGGATTTGCAGGCACTCACACAACATAACACGTGCAGCTCTTCCCTTTACAATCTCTTGGGTGCCAGTGCATACAAGACAACATTTTGGTATGGGGGGGAATGGTTGTGTACCTGCAAATGTGGCTGAGGCAGTGAGAGGAGCAGTAACTGCAGGACAGCCATTGTATTTTTTCCTTATGGAGCTCTTATTTCTGAGCTGTCCACAGGATTTCTCAGCGCCACTAAACCTGATGTGTGCAGGTCAGCTTGATCTGCAGTGTTATCCTTTCAGCATCCTTCTGCCTTTATAGTTTATATTTGACAAAAGAGCAGCTTCCTGGTGTTTTCTTTGCTATTTCTGTGCTTCTGGCTGGCCATCTTTTGTTTTCCAAATCTCCTGCCAGGGAGCAGAGAAGACCAGCTGCTCCCTGTGAGAGACAGAGAGAGACAGGAAGTGAGCATAGCAAGGCAGCCCCTGCCCTATGGTCCCTGAGTGAGACAGACACAAGGAGGGCAGCTGGGTCAGCCAAGAGTGGATCATCAGGAAAGTCTGCTGGTAAGTTAGATCTGAGGTCAAGCCACTCCCCCACTCACTGGAGCCCAGGGCTAACCTGAAATGGGGGTCCCAGACCCATGGGCAGAATGGTTTGGGTTGAAGTCCCAGAAAGGCTGCTTAGGGACAATAAAGCCTGTTAGTGCCCTTAGGGTCCTGGCACCTCTGTGGTCACACTTTAAATCAGCTGAGCTAAGGCTACCAGAGTGTTTTGGATTATTACAGGAGAGTGACAAGCGTGTTTTGTTCACCATGGGTGTAACCACCTCACAGCAGTGGCTGTCACTTCACATGTGCTCGTGCAGCAGTTTCACCTTACTTATGCCAGGATAAGTTAGGCTTGGTAGCAAGTGGACTTGAAAAGCTCCTAACATGGTAAAATCCTGAAGCAATTTGAACACACCTTCTGGAGCCACAACTGCCTGATGCTTCCAAAGTAGCACTTGGACATGTCTGGCTATGCCCTGGGCCAGACAGATGATGTTTTGTGGTATTTGAGTCACTTTATTCTTTTCTTGAAAATAGTGTCTCAGAACTGTTTTTCATTGGAAAACGGTTGTTCCCCAAGTGAGGCAAATTAACTGGCTTGCAAACAAACCTGTTTAAGGCTTCCTTGTCCATTGGTTGCTGCCTCCACCCTTACACTGTTTCTGTCATGTTCATCAGGAGATGTAGTTCCATACATTACATCTGGCCAAGACCTGGACTTATTTCTGAGGGTGACACTGCCTCTGTAGGCTCAGGCACGTCACTTGCCTTGTGTCTCTGTCCCTTTAAAGGCCAGTCAAACAGGGTGAAACGCTTGTAAAATTAATGGGCCATAGCCTTATTTTGCTAATGTCTGTAGTGGACTTTGAAAGAGATCAGAAAGATGTACTTTCTGCCATAGTTATTACTAGTATTGAACTCTGGGCTTATGTCAAGTAACAATTCTGAGATAATAACTAGCGCTATTTGGGTTTCCCCTGGCTGGATCTCAGAACATATTCTCATGCCTTTCTGCTCCTTGGAAGCTGCTGGTTATTACATCTCAATTCTGCAATTGCAGACTAGAAATAACAAGAAAAGGGGGAAAGCATGGCAGGTGTGGTGGCAAATCAGCCAGTGAGCTCTTATCTTCTAAGAGCTTCACACCAGACACCTTCTAAGACAATTTCCTTTTAATCTGCATGCCTCCAAGGTAGTCCTTAGGCAGGTCCTGGCTGTGTTCAGTTAGTCCCATCATAACATGGTTTTCCCTTCTTTTTAAAGCCCCCAGTTTTACCTAGTGCTTCCTCAACCGTCTTTTCCTTACTTTAGCTCACAGATCTGTCCTTGTCTCCTCTCAATCTCTCTGAACTCTCCTAGGTCTTAGCACCCAGCCAGTTCCTCATCACAGTTCCTCTGCGTGGCCTGACGGGTTACAGGGAATGCCAGGTACGGCACTGGCGCTATTACACCGTGAATGGAGCCAAGCTCCTCTCCTCCGTGCGGGACCCTGAGGAACTGCATCAGTGGCTGGAGGTGGAGCAGTTCTCAAAAAGCCTTCAGCAGTGGCATGAAGAGGACGTGAACATCGAAGGTGATCTGGTTCCAGCCAAAGTCCTTATCGTCTTCCGGGAGCTGGTGGAGAAGTCCATTGTCTCCTGTAACCTCTCCAGTGAGTTTGGTGGGGACAGGTGAAAGGGAAACCATCACACACACAAAGTGTTTGGTTTGCGTGGTCAGGAGCCAAGCAAAACCCTCCAAAACCAGGAAGCCTTCAAGCAATTGCAGTGATGTACACAGACCTGCACTGAAGATAGAATTCAGTAGTTCTTGGGCTCTTTGTACCCAAGATGTTACTCCTTTCTTAGGAATTTGGGTACGGTCTCCAGCAACATCACCATCACAGTTCAACTAAGAGGCAGCCCAGATTTTTAGAATATTTAGGAGTTTATTTGGGGAAAAAAAATCTTTCTCTACTACAGCACCTGCAATATATTTAGATTATCAAGGATGGTAGTATAGGAAAATTGGATATAGGAAAGAAGCGTAAGTCTGAGAAGAATGTGTTTGAAGATATTTATAGGGCAGATAATGCTCTGGGGAAACCTTTGCTGCCCACAGCTTTCCAGTATGGGATGGTGGGAACCAAGTAGAAGGACTTCTACTGAAGCAAAGTATGTTGGACAAGTGCTCTTTTCCCCAGTGTCCAGGCTATTCATGTGGTGCCTCTTCCTATAGCATGTTTCCAGGATGACTTTACTCATCAGTAGCCTAATGAGTCTTCTGTATTTCAGAGCAATAGAAGCTATTTCCACTCATCTGATAGCACTCTAAATTGTAGTCACAGGAAAAAAGAACGTTAAAGTCAAGCTCTGCTAGATAATGGTATTTTTTTCAGGAAATACTTGTTATCATTGGAGTGAAAAGGTGGATAGGAATGAAATTTCACCACTGAGGCTTACAAGAAACACCAGCTGGAACGGGCTTGCTTCTGAGACTTTACTGATGTGAAAGTTGTTGTGTTGGGCAGCAGTCACATCAAGTTATTGAGTGAAAGTTGAGTGTTTCAGGAAAGGTACTTGCAAGGACCCCACAGAGTGATGTTTAGGTTGATGATTCTGATGCCTTTTTTGTAAGGTCTGCTCTGGGAGGAAATGAGCTAAGATGAAGTAAGGAGAAGCAATTACCATTTTGTTTGTTTCTGTGAAGAATGGACTTCCTTCATCCCACTCCCAAAGTTACACAAAAACTTCTCTGATTTCTTTGCTTCCCTGTTTTTTAATTCTTCCAGCACCAGAAAAATCAGTTTTTGAGGTGTCTCATTTTTTATTAGTGGAAAAATAGGTATAAGCATTGCAATGCTTTTGGAAATGCCATGAACATGTTTACATGCTGACACAGTGGTTGCTCTAACTCTTTTCAGCTGCTAGGGATCCTTATTGGGAGCTTGGGAACAGAACAGTTCCTGCTTTGATGCCAGGCTTGGCTCAGCAGGGAAATAGCACATAGATTTTCTGAGGTTTATGAAGTTCTGGTTGGGATGGACTCTACTCTTTGCAAGGTAATTCAGCCCATGAGTTGCTCCTTAGCCCATGCAATCAAAATGAGGTGGGATAACACACTGCTCTTTAAACTGCTTATGTTCATCTGCTCAGGCTTTCACTTCAGTGGGTTAGAGGATGAACACACAATTGGCTCAGATGGCAGAGCTGAAGGGACAGTGATCCTGCCAGAGTGACTGGGACAGAAACTTCCATGAACTCAACGGGACCAACAGGAAACATCCCACAAAATCTATTAGTTGCAGCTTTCTTTCCTGTCTGTACTCTTACATCGTGTTGTTCCTGGAGACAAGCCACTCTACTTTCACACTCAGGGAACTTCTTTCCTCCAAATTACCTTGGAACTAACTCTTCTTAACACTCAGCACTTGCAGTGATGTAGCAGTTAGTATTTTCTGTGTGACTGCTCTGCACAACAGACCATAAATTCAGATATCGTCTTCTGTGCAAGTGGATCTCCAGAAACAAACTTTAAAGATACTGCACAAAACATTCTGAATGACTGGCAGTGGTGTGATCTGACAAGGGTCTCATCTCAGGTCCTCTGAAGGAAGAAGAATATCTTTACATAGGAAGTGTTCATCTGGTCCTCTCCAATCTGCAGTGATCTCCTTGCAGTGTGCCATTAGAAATGTTAGGTTGCACCACTTGTCTGGCTCTATTTTCAAGAAGCTGATCCTAGGGTTTAAGAGGACCCACAAACAAAAAAAAAAAAAAAAAAGCATGATAATTGAGTGTAAAGTTAAGAACTTGGTTCTTTCATCTTCCTGTTCTCATTCCTCAGGACTTATATAGATTTAGGTTTTTCTTATATTCTTTATGTCTTATTGAAGAGAAAGTGTTAAGACAGACCAATAGAACTGCAAGGTCCTAGACAGCCTATTGCTTGCCTTGTGGAAAAGGACCTTTTTAGCTATATTTTCTTCTCTTGTTGCTCTTTCACAGGTAAAGTGACAGTGCTGGAGAGCTTCAGCTCAGTGGTCCGGGTGGCTGTGGAGACATCAGAATCACAGGTTGAGGTGGAGCTGGTCCCTGCTGTGGAGATTCCAACTTGCTGGCCTGAGAAAGCCCGGTGGCCTCGTTGCCTTAAGCGTTGGCCTTCTCAGGAAAAAGTGCAATGCATCAAGGTAAACAGTATAAAGTACACCCTTAACTCTGGGATGGAATTTACCTCTCAGGTGTCTGACAGTGTTTTCCCAAGGGAAGAACTGCATGGTGATGGCAGTAGGGTTAGAAGATGTGTTCTCTAAAGAGAGAAGCAATGTTTCAAAATATTCTGTCAGATTTTATTTGGATTTTGTTTTCCCCCCCTTACAGTGGTGAAATCTATAGAAAAAATCTGAGTTAACTTTTTATTGCATGAGTCTCTAGCAAACAGTTCTGCCTGCATCACACAGCTCTAAGGTGCATCATTCGTGTTCTGCCTCATGTAGGACTTCAGCAAATGGACTGCTGTCTTGCAGTTTTCCTTCCAGCTCAATCCCATCTTTCCCTACAACATTCACAGCTGGATTCTGGCACTTCAGCTCAGCCAGAGCTCAGATCAGCTCTCAGAGAGTTATAGCTTGAATTCCTCACTATGTCTTAGTTACCTGGTGACATTCAAGAAAAGGCTTTGTGGTTACTGCAGCTGTGAACAAAAATTTTTTCACATTTGAAAAACAGTTAGAGAAGAAATCTGTCAGCAGTACATCTGCCATATTCCTGCAGATCCCATTCCACCTTCCAGTCCTGCTCCCCACTTATGCACAACCTCCTTCTCCAGAGCAAAGTGCCTACAGAGCTGCATCTCTGCTTTAGTGGCAATGCTGGTGCTGTGCCTGATGGCTCTAGAAAAGGATCTCCCTGCAGTAACTGATACCACCACACAAGGAAACAATGCAAAATGCTTGTTTATTCAACAAAGCATGAAGATGGGAGCACGCCTCATGTTTGCTGCCTCTGCTAACCCTGTTTAGAATAGGCTTCAAGAGATGTCACACATGCTTTTGTAACCTCTCTCTGCACTTCTGGGACAAGTTTGCCTCTGATCTGCTGTCACACTTCCCCTGTTGTCCCACAGTCGCTGGGTTTCGACCTCCTGGCCCGCTCTAACTATCACTGGCAGCTGTGTTTCTCCCGTGCTGAGCACATCCTCATGGAGGGACTTGATGAAGATGGTGGTTGTCGCATGAAGTGCTTCAGGGTCATGAGGCAGATGAAGGAAGATGTCTGGTGTGCTGGAAGTAAGCCTGTCATCACAGCTTATCACCTTCAGGTAGGCATCACCCTGATATCCAGTAGTGTCAGAATGTTGTGGTGTAAATCAGTGTGGCATCTGTGTAACTTCTGAGGTAACTGTCAAATCTGCTGTACCTTTTCATTGCTTTATGGTGGCAAGGAGTTCACTAGATATGTGTTCCAAACTTCAGTAAGAAACTAAGGCCTGTAGGAATATTATGATTGCAGCAACACAGAGTCGAGGCCCCTGCTCTGTTTTGACTTCACATTGTACTGTTGTCTGTAATTGCATACTTACTTCCTGCTTCTTGATTATCCTAGCCATCTGTATCCATCTGTCTCTCTATTGGAAGATGGTGCTTTTTTCCTTTGTGGATATGCACCAAACAAAACTATCTTAGGTGAGCATTATTAATGAGTTAGGTGCAAACTACAGTTCTGGTGATGTTTCACCTGGGGTAGGAAGGGAAGAAAAAGTTAAAGGGGTGATGGCATCCTCCCTGAACCTATTTCAGGGTTCAAGATGGCTTCAAACAAGGTTTGTGAAGAAGAGAGAAGACTCTGCTATGACTGTGTCCCCATATCTGACAGCTGCAGACACCGATGGGCCACAGGCAGCACCATTTCTTAGATTATAGATTTAAAATCCTATTTTCTGGGACTTCATTCTCCTGGAGTTGCCGGGGAGAGGCTGTACTTTTCCCACCTTGAATCCTCAAGCCATTAGGTTCCTACAGTAGCATCTGATCTTTTGGTGGCCAAAACCAGATGCAGTGCTAAGGTTTCTCCCAAAGAAAAAGCTGGTGACCATCAAATGCTGTTAAAGTCATGGCACTACTCTAAGTAAAGGTGGAGTAAAAAAAAATTAAAATTGATGAGGCTGATTATAGCTTAGCTGAATGCAAAACTCTTCAGTGCCTGTAAGAATAACCTGATGGGAAAACTGTCATATGTAAGACAGTGGAAAGCCATTTAACCATTAGGAGCAATGTTTTTCCCTGACTGAAGGAGCAGATGTGCAAGAAGTGCTGTTGCATTGACTCTTGTTAAAGTAAGAAACTATTTAGAAGCTCTTCAGTTCTTTTCTGTAACTGTACTTCTGGCTTTTATGGCAAGTGAGGATTGGTTTACCAGACAGAAAGAATTTTTCAGAATTACTCACATTAGAAAGAAAAACAGGAAGAAAAGAAAAATGAGAGAAACAGTCAGTGGATAAACCAGCAGTTGAGCAGAGGCTTAGTGTTAGGTTTCTTAACATTCTCAGATTGCCCCTGTCAAAGGTATCAAACAATTAGGATTAAACAAGATCCTCTATGACAGAGGAAATCTGCATCCCAGAAGCTCTGAAAGCCAGAGAGGACCATGTAACTGCCCTTCATAGGAATGAAGTTCAAGACCTGCAATTTCAAAAAGATCTAGGTACATTCTGAAATCCAACTCTATGCTGTTGGTGGAGAGCAGGCAGTTAGGGACATAAATGCTGGGGATAAATCACCTGTTCAGGCACCTGGCTGAAAAAGCAGTGCTGTTTTCCTTGCCTCCAGAAACTTCATTACGACTGCTGCCTGCTGAAGTAGTGTGTCAGGAGGCAACTGCTCTGCAAGTCTTCGAGGAGCAGTTCTCAGAGAGTTATAGCTTGAATTCCTCACTATGTCTTTGTTCCCTGATGACATTCAAGAAAAGGCTTTGTGGTTACTGCTGCTGTGAACAAAAAATTTTTCACGTTTGAAAAACTGTTAGAGAAGAAATTTGTCAGCAGTACAACTATGAAAAGATGAAATTCTACCTCTGGAGAAACAGACAAGTTGAAGGCTGTGGTTCTGCCACCTCTTACAGTGCCTGTGAGTCTCTTTCTGGGTAGCTGATTTTGCAAAATATAATTGGGATTCAGAGGAGAATTAGGGGACTTAGCAGAATTATTGAACACAGGATAGGTGATTTAGTACTTTAAAAAATTATTTCAGGCTGACCTAGGCAGTCAGTATGGCTTTTTTGGTACATGAGTCTAAGTTCCTTGAGAAAATTCTTCTCAGTCATGGGGAAGTCTGAAAAAATGTGACATGGGCAGTGTAAAAATAATACTGTAAGAGCAATATTCATACACATTTTGTTATTTTAACGATGTATTTCTCAAATGTTAAATTGCATAAAATCATTTTGGAGAAACAGAAGACATGCAGTAAGTATCACATGTCAGAAAAAAACAGGCAGGATTTGACTAGAAAGCAAGCCTTGCACCTGCAATAGCTTCTTGGAATCTCAGTCTGTTTAGGATGCAGATCATTGTCTATATTCAGCACAAATACAGCTGAAGCTAACAAATAATTATATTGATGTCATTATGCTCTGTCCCTCCTTTCATCTGCTGGCTTGTACCCTTGCATAACAGACCATTTTCTACAGCCTAAAATGCCTGGCATTTCTACAGAGGCTCCTGCTGGAGGATGGCAAATAGACAAAGATTATATTGGCAAGATCATTTTCCTTGGGCTCGGGGCTCAGTCAGTGGAGAGTGGCTCCTCCTGGGAGAGATCCTAACCAGGCACCTCCAAGCTGCTCTTCCTGGTCCCCAGAGGAGACTTTAGCAAGGATCCCTCCATTGCAGAAACATTAACACAGGGAGGTAGCAGCGCGAGTCTCTGTGATTTCCAAGGCTGACAGCCATTCACCAGCACTAGAAGTGCCTTAGTAAGCTGTGTGAGCCCTCGACAGAACCTCTAACACATCTTCTCTCCCATCTGCTTCTTGCAGACAGTGCTATTCTGGACGTGTGAAAAATACCCCCGCACCAAGGATTGGCGCTGCTTCCCCGAAGCCTTTCTGAGGCTGGTACAGAAGCTGCACAAGTGTGTAAGCCAGCACTTCCTCAAGCATTACTTTCTCAAGAACACCAATCTGCTCAAATATGCCAACACCAGTGACCTGGACCTGGTGGCCAGCAAGCTCGCGGTCTTCTTGGAGAATCCCGTTTTCTGCCTGGACTAAGGCAGGCAAAGGTCTCATCCCAGCCCCGAGTCGATCCCCCAGCTCCTCTCTCCACCTGTGCTTGCTCTCCGTGTCCTTCCAGTTGATGCTGCAGCTGGCTCTGTGAGACAGTTGGCACATGCAGCGCGAAAGAGAAGTGTTGAGCTGGCAGCGGTGGGCGGTGAAAACTGATGGGAGGTATCACTTGATGCCCAGCTGATCTAATTTGCTTTCAACAGTGACAGCCTGCCTGGAAGGTACAGCCAGTGAAACCCAGCTTTCTGTGTCAGAGCAGGCAACTGCCTCGTTCTGTGTCTCCAGTCTTGTGGCACCTAAGCTGAAAGGCAGCACAAAGGAGTCTCGCTCTGCTGCCCCTGTTCATGCACTAGCTAGCTCATGCACTGTTGCTGCAATCGCCTTCCTCACAAGGACAGTGGGTTTAATTGCCTAATTACCTCACCGGCCAGCTCTGCAGAGGGGCAGAGGAACATTTCCAAGGTGTTCTGAAGCTGGAAGCTTTCTCAGAGGAAATTCAATTCAGTGAGGTCCTGCTCCAGTAGGATCCAGTAATAATTTAACCATGCTGCTAGTGTTGAAGAGCTCAGTGGAAGCAAGAAGAGGAACAGTAGGGTTTGCCTCTTAATTTTTCTCTCCTTCACTTACATTTTTCTTCCAATTGCTTCAAATATGTCTTTTTCCTGTTTGCCAGTTGTGTTAGTGCCATACAATCAGAGGGCTTTGGCAGGGCAGATTTCACTCCCATCCCTGGCTCTATCCAGCAGGCTGGACAAGGAGCAGGTCTTTTCCTAGTTGGTAGCACCCATGTATTTTTGGGTGCAGTGCAGAATATTTTTCAGAGGCTCTTAGCTCCGAGACCCCCAGTACCTTTAATTTTGTGGATGTTTGAAAAGAAAATGAATTTTAGTATTTCAAAAGAACAGAGATTTAGAATTAATATAAAGAATGCTGGGTTTAATGTTATTAAATTGCTGAAACTTAACCAAGATGGGGGTGGGGGGGTTGGGTTTGATTTGCTGGGGTTTTTTTGTCACATCTGTGCAGGAAAGTAAGTAAGTCTTTTGCCAAGGGGGCTGGCAGAGGTCGGATTTGCATCGCACCCCAAGGAGCTGCAAGAGGCGCATTTGCGGCGCGGCGTCTCCCCGTCGTGGCAGACTGCGGTACAACCAGTCTCCAGCACTGCCTCTGGTGCAGGCTGTCTTCTACAGGTTATGAGCAGAGTAGATTTGGGTCAGGAAGGATCCAAGGTGTGTGCTCCTGGTCTGGTCATGGTCCTGTGTCTCCTGCATCAGATGTCGCCACATATAGACGTGATCCGACCATGTAAACTGGCCCCTCTTTGCTCAGATCCTCGGAATACTCTCCAAGTCGCCTTTCCACATGGGTAACTGTCTTGTGTGGAACTGTTTTGAGCAGTTAACTTTTCTTGCTAAACCTTTGTTCTCCAGGCTCCCTAAATGGGACACAGGTGTTGGTTTCATGATGACACCTCCTGTTCAAGTGTGGCTTTCTGATTTCCTGTGAGCTGTTTCAGTAAAGTGCAAGGAGATGCCAATCTGCCAGGCAGAGTCAGGCAGCTGTGGCAATGAAGTAATGTCTCCTGTTTCGTCTTGATTTTGTCTTGTGGTTGAATGGCTGGCTTCTGAAGTTAGAGGAGGGCAAAAACAGTTCAAACTGTTCAAGGACAGTGAAAAACATTCAGTGCAATTAATCCCAAATTTGGTATTTTACTGCCCTGATGTATGATCCTTTTGGGATTTAGTTGTGGCTGATAAAGAATTTATCTCCCTTTATAGCTGGGTGAAAGAACAGCATTTGGTGGTGATGCCTTAACTTGGATGCAGCTGTGTGTCAGAGTCCTCAGCTGCTGGGATTCACAGCCTGCTGTGAAGCAAAACCATGGGCATGCACTGTGTGCTGCACAGTCGTGACATGGAATGTTCCACTGCCCTGCCAGAGCCTCTTACAGCCAGGAACGACACAGCAAAGCCAGGAAATAAGCACAGAATGATGGATCCCTGCCTTGAGCCAAGTCTGATCAGTTTTTGCTCTGTTTTCTTCTTGTTCACTCAAGCAAATGCATCAGCTAGCACATGCTGCTGCAGAAAGTATCGTTGTCACCACTGGAACATGGAAGGTACATTACTATTGACCACAAAGACGCAGGAACAATCCCACAGCTTTTTCTCCAGAGCAGCAAGATGTGACACAGCTGGCCACTGGCAAAGAGAAAAGGCTTTGAGGAAAAGATTAACATGGTCATGGAAGCAGTTGAATGCAAGAATGAATTCCTTTCAGAGACATCTCTGAGACACTACCTTACATCATCTCATGCAGGTCTATATGAGTGTGTGGAGTTTTGTTGTTGAGGCAGTTTTTTGTGGTTGTGGGAGAGTTGTGCAGGAGGTCTCTTATTAAAAAAAAACAAGCTTGGCAAATATATTTATTTCATTTCTTACCATAGTAAACCTTTTGCAAATAGCTTTTCACTTATACACCAATCCTAGCTGCAAAATCATGGCCTCATCCCATGATTTGCCTCCAAAAAGTGACACCACATTGTACTTTGGCTACAGGATAAGTTTTATGCTTCATATTTATAATTTTTCTTTTTTAAAAGTGAGCATCTGGATGAATACACACATTCAAACCACACATAAACCGGTTTAATCAAAAGTTCTGTGTTCAGAACATCTGGAAGGAATGTGATGACCATTTTCTCTCCCTCTCTTTTTCATTGCTTTCATGAGTATTTGCTGCATTCTGAGCCCTCACCACAGTCAGCATCACTCCATCTGTCAGAAATTTCAATTGAATGTGTTGTTCTGCCATATAAAACAGTACAAAAGTCATTATGTTTTTAGTCTTTTTTACACAGCCTGCCTTCTGGTCACTAGAGGGCAATGTCTCTCTGAAGCACAAACACTGATCCAGGATCTCGCTCTCAAAATCAGCATTTTGTTATTATCATCGAGCTGAGACAAATGAGCTCAATTAATTTAATGCTGAATTCTGTTGCCAAAAAGGAGAGAAGAGACCATGGGAGACGTTTCTAATAAATAGCAAGACTTCAGTAAAAAGGCTTTAAACTCTGGAAGCCACTCTAAGAGCCAGAATATGGATTTATTGTTTTTGATGGTCTTGCAGTCATTCCCAACAGCTTTCGATTGGGAAAGCACCAACAAGCAAAGTGCAGGCAGGGTTCTGGGAAGGAGGGAACTTGCAGGAATAGCCACTGCCCTGCTCCATTAGAGTCCTGCCCTCTCTCCATGGCCATGACTCCCATGTGTGCCTACCTCTCAGGCTCCTCTGTCTCCTTTTTTTCTCCCTTCTCCAGGAAAAAAAAAAAAATATTCTCAGAACAAGTTTTCTGATGCCACCCCTTTGGCTCTGGTGGGAATTTTCAGTGCACATCAACTCTCTTTTAGTTCATGGGCCCCAGGTGAACACAGACACACCATCTACTCACCCTCACTTATACTCCATCTTTGGTTTGAAATGGTGCCCAGCGATGAAGTTAGATCATGTTGCAAACTATGTTCCCTGTGGGAGCAGCCTGTCCTCTCTGAGCAAAGTTGGGACATGGACAGTGATAGGCAGGATAATTCTGCTTTAACACTAAATATTTTTCTGCTTATCAGTGCTAGGACTTCTGGTTTTGAGGAGAAACATATTTTATTATACCCCACCCCCAACACTCATCTGAGGCCCTTGCAATGTCACATGAGATAGTGACACAGCAGCCACTGCTCAAATCACAGTAAGAGATCCCACTCGCCCTATCAGGCCAACCTGACATTACTGTAGGAGGCGTGTGGTGCCCTTGTCCTCCTTGGGATCTGACTTCTCTGGCTGAAATAATACACACCATTTCAAAGGAAATTAAACAGCTGCAGGTAGAAAAATATGTTTTAGCCTGTTTTGACCCAAACCACTGCAGCACAAAGAAATGGACAACACTTTCATCATGTTACAAGTACCTGTCAGTTCTGCTCCAAGCAACATCTTTGAACTGAAAAGAAAGAAAGGACCGGATCAGCACCTGGCTTTGAAAGCATTTCCTGCATGGGTGATGAAGAATGCACAGATGCCACCAGAGACCAAGCCTATGGAGAGTGCAGAATGTATTTTTCACAGGAAAGATTGTCTAATTTACCATTAGCATCTTCACAAATACAAATTACAAGGAAATGCATTAAGGAAAGAATTAATCAGCTTGAAAGGCTTTGTAGTAATTAGAAAAAAGAATGGCGTCTTCCCAGGCTCCCCTGGATGGTGGTAATTACCAGCTGCACAACTGTGGCTTGTGCCACTTAATGATTTCTGGACTAAAAATCTTAATATCTTTTTACTTCCATTCTTAGAGAAGCCACTCTTGGAATCGGGCAGCAGCACAGGCCAGCAGCTCTGAGAAGCATGAACTGAGCTTGTTTCAGCCTGGGAGGGCAGCCACTTTAGGTACAGGGTGCTCCAGAGCCTGATCCCAAGCCATGGCTCCGTTGCATCTGGCCCAGCACATTTTTCCTGTTGCCTTGGAGGAGATGGGTACCATTTGTTATCCAGCAACTTGAACAGCCAAACCTCTTCTGCAACAACTGCAGGCAGCCTTACACCCATCTGCAGCACATCCCTAGCAGCAGAGGGCAGGCCATAGCCCCTTCTGGTGACAGTATTATCAGCAACACAGCTGGGGGACCTGAAGGGCAAGGCTGCAATGGAGGCTAGCTAATGCATTCCAGGGAAGAAGTTTGGTTAATTTAGGAGAGTTTAAGAAATTCCAGTTCCAAGGTAGTAGTGAACCAAAGCAAAAATGCAGCTCAGAAGAAATTTTTTTAAATCCATGGTAAAAACTCCTAAGGAAATGAACATCAGTGTTGAATTCCTGGGATCCCATTTTAAAAGGGTGAGAACCTGTAGCTAGGAGGAATGTCATCAGCAACTGAATCCATCTGTTGCTCTTCGTGGTCCTTTCCCCCAAATTAACCAAGAGCTGTTTCAAAGGT